TAGGTAAGAGCGATCCCTTTAAAAAGATTCATACTCGAGCAGAAAACAACAAATAATAAATATTTGTTGTTTTCTTTGTTTTAAACTAAAATAAAATCTTACTAAGCTATATATTAATTACCACAGGCTAATATATAGTAGATAGGCAAGGCTAGGCAACAGGTTTTTTTTTAATTTATTTATTTTAAGTTTTATATCACAAAAATGAAACAAAAAGTTTTCATAAAATAATATGTTTATCTGTCATTCTGTCACATCTAATTTTTCCGAATCTACTAAACGGAACAAGTTTAAACAATAATATATAGAGAAATAAAAAGATATCGCCGTTTAAAACCAGAAATAAGAAGACGAACAGCATAAGCTTGGTAAATATAACGGAACACGTCACAGATTTTAGAATTATAAAAATCTGCGCTTCCAGAATGAAACTTAATACAAAAACTAAGAAGCTTTTAGTTGGTACTTATTGTTATCTTCTTGGAAAGCAAAATGAACGTTGAGTAATGCAGTGTCTTATCAGATCCTAATTCTGCAATGGCTAAAGCAATATGTTGCATGGTGTCTATCGAACATTGATTTTAATCTGTACATATAATAAAATTCTAACTAAGCCGAATCTGTACATTAATTTTTTTTTGGAAAATCTTATTGAAATAGTCATTATTATCGATACAGAGAATCTATAGTTTTTAGATTTTTTGTCTGTCTGTTCTGACCGCATCACCAGAAAACCACTGGACAGATTTTGATGAAATTTGGTATTATGATAGCTGGGTATCCGGGTCGACATATAGGATACTTTTTACTGTGGGAAAATATCTCACCTCTGAGAAATCTATACTAAACATTAAAACATTCAAACCGCTAGTTTTTTATAAAATACATAAAACAAAATGAAAATGAACTGAAATAAGTCAAGTTATACCCTAAACTTCAAACTATAGCTTGAAAATGTACCTTATACCATATACGTATGACGAAAAACGTAAAAGCTGTGGAAATATTCGAACGCAGCAAAAACTAAGATCTCAATTACCAAATCAATCACTAAATTAAGTTGAAACTCCCACGCGAATATTGAATTTTGGGAGCATCCAGTTCAATGATCAGAATCTATGAACCGGCTATTGAATCTTAGCAGTTTTCTATAACATAGGGTTTTAGGTTAGATTAAAAGTACCTGGGCGACTTACGCATGGCGTTTTTTTTTTACCGGAAAAGGTATAATAATCGTTTTCAGAAAAACACCTATGTATATAGATAAACTTAAAAAGCAAAACCTTATCTAAATACAAGAGTTTTATCAAAAACGTTATAGCCATTTCCGAAATAGACGAAATAAATATATATACAAAAATTGATTTAATTATTATTATAAGATACGTATATAAAATATTTATAACAAAAAGTAAACTTTTTGTGATCCATAAAAAGTGTAATAAAATAACCTAAATAAATTTTATTTCATTATTCTTAGTTTGTAATAAATAAACCCTTTTTATCTTCCATTCTCATCAGTAACATAAATATTGTCATTAATTATACGAATCTATACATACAGCCTGACCCGTAGGCCCGTGCCTAGCAGTAGGACGTTAAATATGGATGAATTCATAAATACATACATAAAATTCTAAATCGAATCTGTATAATAAATATCTTGAGAAAAATCTTATTGAGGTAGTCATTAGTATCGATGTAGAGGGCGAACCTATAGTTTTAAAATTTTTTGTCTATTTGTCTGTCTGTCTGGAAACGCATCACAAGAAAACTACTGGACAAATTTTGATTAAATTTAGTATGATAATAGCTGGTCCAGGTCAACATATAGGATACTTTTCACTGCAGGAAAATATGTCATCTCTGAGAAATTTATACTAAACGTTAAAACGTAACTAGGGACGATCCCGAGCGTGGGTGAGTGAGCAAGGGTGAGTCGCTACTATAATATATTTTAATTTAGTAAAGATGATAGCTTTGGAAGTTTTCATTACTTATATAGCTATCAGAAAGAGTTTTTTTTCGGTTCCGATCTTCAGGTCTGCCTTCTCTAGACAAGTGAAGATGCTCAGAGACATGAATACTGTTAATCTCCTCACTAATGCAAAACTTTCATTCAACTGATCCAACGGAAATTGAATTCGGTAACAATACAAAGGTTTTGAGTCCAATCATAAAAAAGCTGTTATCATACAGATTGATTTACCAGGATATGTGGTCGAGGGCTCAATTTGCGTTGATTCTTTTATCCAGAGCCTGTCAAGTGGAGTCTCTGTTGAATCCCAATGAAGTCATGGGGTGGGGTGGTAGTGACAGCGTTTTTAGAGCTTCTATTTATTTCATACGTTTTCTTGGACGATTTTTAGACTATCAATTTAATGTTTCTTAACTATACATGAAATAGTATAAAGGAAATATAATTACATCGCAACTCGTAAATATGAAAAAATCCAAATTTTGCTTAAACTGGCTTTTTATATATATATAAATTCACAGATCACTTACGCTCTGACCGCGTACAAATCGTATTCCCATTATTATTCGTAGAACGACCACAGGGGATACGATCGACCTTTTTATCAGAGGTGTATCTCCAGGTTAGAATTGCTTTTTAAGACGGCACCTAAAAGTTTGATCCTTCAATGTTTATAGGTGGATTAATATATAAACTTTGCTGTTAGGTTATTCATTACTTTTATTACTAGTGACCCTCTCTGAATTTTAACTACACTATCCCACGGGATACATTGGATAAAACATAACTACTATCGACTATATAATATATAGTCGATATTTGCACTTTTGGTACCTTTATAGACAAAAAAAATATTAATCTCAATTACTATTATTGCATTGATGCGTGCCATCAGCAAACAACAATATTAATAATCATGGAATACATATTATTATTTAATAAATCAATGTACAAAATTTCGTATTTCCAAGCAAAATGGGTTTCAAAATTTCAAAAATCAAAACTATACAAAGCAGCATTGTAATTAAAAATTATATCTCTCTTACTTGTTAATAATTAGCGACTCACCCTCGCTCCGCCTTGACAAAAACAAATCTATCCCACGGGAACCGTACATTTTTCTGGGATAAAAAGTAACCTATGTGCTATTTCAAACTATAATCTATCTCTATGCCTTTCATCTAGATCCATTCAGCCGTTCTGACATTCCATCCATCCCACAAACTTTCACATTTATAATACTAGCGACTCAATCTCGCTTCGCTTTTGGTTCGTCTTTTGACAAACACAAATCTGTCCTACGGGAACCGTACATTTTTCCGGGATTAAAAGTAATCTATGTGCTATTGCATACTTCTAACTCTATGCAAAATTTCATTCAAATCCGTTCAACCGTTCTGGCGTGAAAAAGTAATTAACATCCGTCCATCCATCCATCGTCACAAACATTGACATTTATAATTTTAGTATGGACTAGCATTGCCCGCGTTAAGATGACCAAAAAGCAAAATCTCAGGTTTTACATGTTAGTATACTCTTACAATGCAGTTTTTGTATTTTTTCTCAGAAATGAGATATTTCCCCACAATAAAAAGTATTCTATATGTTGACCCGGATAACCTGCTATCACCATACCAAATTTCATCAAAATTCCTCCAGTGGTTTTTCTGTGATGCGGTAACAGACAGACAAAAATTTTAAAAACTATAAATTCGGCCTCTGTATGGATAACAATGTTTATTTAAATAAGATTTTCCAAAAAATATTTAATGTACAGATTCAGCTTAGTTACAATTTTATTATACTAGTATGTATAGATTAACTTATGGATATGAATAGTCATCGTTTTTTTTAATTATAATTATTAATTATATATCGGGAGAAAAACGATGTCGAATTTTCATTTTCGACTTTTACCTTTGATTTCCCGAGAGGAAATTTTGTAAAGCAACTTATAGTACGTCATATAAATGACTGTTGTCAAATATTTATATCATAAATTTACTTTTATGACTTTAATAACAATAATAATAATAGATCCGTCGGTCGTAAGAGTATTTATATTTCAATAATCATTAACCACTAACTATTGGAGTGCTTTATGAAATTAATGTTTTCCATCAAATTGTCCTTTATAACATTTGCTTATTCCAGATATTACTTCCTGCGCGTAAAAACAAACGATTTCTCACTTTTATTGTATAAACTTTCTCACGATAATAAAATGTTTCAAGGCTTTAATAAATACATAAGTAATAAATACCAGATAGTTGATGCACTATACATATATATATATATATATATATATATATATATATATAATATATATATATACAGTAAAAGCTCTTTATTCGCGGGGTATATGTTCCATAAATATGCCGCGAATACAGAAACCGTGAGTACGGAATGGCAATTTATATGGGATTATAGGGGATACGTTCCTAGGTGACAAAATAAAAAAAACAAATATATAAAAAATTTATTTAATTGCAGTTTTTGAATATTTTAATTAATTATCTTAAGGCTTAGGCAATGGTTTGAAGAATTTTGTAATTTTTTCTTGCTTGGCAGTTTTCAAAAGCTCCTTCAATTCAGACTGATACACAGCAGTCGCATTAGCAATTTGCCTCTTAAAAATAAGACTTCGTTCCATAGACGGATCAATGTTCATAAAGAAATCGCAAAGCTCATTTGCCATTCTTAAACCTTCACTAAGATTTTTCAAATTAAAATTTGATTTTGAAAATTTCTCAGAAAAAATCTTTTAACAATAAGTTTTAATGTTTTATGAGTAAAGGTAAATGTACTATATTGTCCATCTAAATGTTTCAATTTTACCAGTCAATGTTGGTTACATTTTCACTTTAGGCAGTTCGTGGTTAAGGAAGGCATTGTATTATTAATTTGTTACTAAAATATTTACTATAAAAACTGCCTTTAATGTAAAAAATACTATGTTCTATGTTCAATTTCCTTATTTATGAATAAAGTTATTATTAATATTATTTATATTTGGTTACAGATACTCAGGAGAAGTCGGGAAAATCCAGATCGGGTAACCAAGATGGTGAAAGTCCTAAAGAAGCATGGATGAGGGCACCGGCTGTTGGTGTTGTACTTAAAAGTGGAGAAGATGCTTTACTCACTTGTGTTGTTTTGGGGGCAAACGATAAACCGGTATTGTGGAAGAGAGCCAAAGACCTGCAAGTCTTGACTGCTGGTGATGTACGAGTTACAAGAGATGAAAGAATACAAGTTTTGCATGATGATTGTAAGTTGGTCATTACTAAGATAATATTGTTTTTTTTAATATAATAAAATCTTAAGCTGATATTTCTCTTTGTTATAACTAGTAATTTCTCATTAGGTAACAAAAAATCCTCACTTTAAATAATGTATAATAATTTTGTATTATTTGAGCATTATTTTTAGATTGAAAATCGTTGTTTTTTTTTTACGTTTTAGTATTAGAACTTAGCGTTTTTGATAAAATTATTTAAAGAATGCTTAAGTATGCCTTTTAAGTGGCACCTTCACTTAATAATTACGAACTGTGTACATCTTATGTACAAATACTTATAGTGCACCTTTAAGCTTAATGTAATATATAGGTAAATAAAATATATCTTATAATATTTTTCCATTAGCGGAAGAACCACTTCAGGGGCCTGGTATAAAAAAAGGTGGAGATGTTTGGGCTTTGGTTATAAAATCTGTGACAATTGATGATACAGGACTGTATATATGCGAATTGAACACTGAACCACCTGTCAGAAGCTTCCATAAGTTAAGTGGTAAGATAACCCTAATCTTCTAAAAATAGTAATATACAGGTCATTTTTAAATTACTGAAAACCTTTGGGAATATACTATTTACATCATAACAATAACATCTGTAACAAGAAAAAAATATATTTGTTAAATTTTTATTTTCATACAAAAATAAAAATATTTTTATTGCACTTTCTAAACGGCAAAATTCTAGCATCTGGCCAAGTTTTAATGAGTAAGGGCTCCTTCCTACCACCCTCCACCCCTAACCCCACACCGATCACACGCTTTCTTTTGCTAATTGCTGGACTATTACCGTTTAGAAGGAGCAATAAAAATATTTTTATTTTTGTAAAATTTAAGAAATATTATGTTTTATCCTTACAGATGTTGTTGTTATGATGTAAACAGTATATTCCCAAAAGGTTTATTCTTCCAAGAGCCATGTTGGTGTAGGAGAATTAAGAATATATTGATCATTATAGTGTGTACTATTATAATACAAAAAAAAACAAAATATAATAGAACCTTATTTTCAGTTATACCTACTGTAGTGTATACTCCACCAAAGGCGACGAATGTAGACACATACTCTTCAAATATGCCGACTACCGCTCTCGCACATAACTATACTAATTGTTGCGTCAACGCCAACGTATCGAAGAGTTGTTTAGGATATTGTAGTATACAAAGTATTTTGGATGGACCAGGTCAGGATCCAGAAGCATGCCAGACAGACTTCCCTTCTATTGTTAAGTAAGTACAAACTTTAAATAATGTTTACTAACTTTCCAAGTAGGTTAATTTGGACATTTAATCCGAATTTTGATACAATTTTGACCTACAATTAAGGAAATTTCTTTACAAAAATCTGTACGTGAATATTATATTTATCTTTACATAGTATAAAATGAAATCGCTTCCGTTGTCTGTTCGCTTAGATCTTTTAAACTACACAAAGGATTTTAATGCAGTTTTCAGCAATAGATAGAATGATTTAAGAGAAAGGTTTATATTATGTATAATAACATGCATATTATAGTACAGAAATACCAAGAAATTCAAAGCTGTGTATTTCACACTAACCATTAAAACGTATCTAGGGACGAACCCAAGCAAAGCGATTGTGAGTCGCTAGTTTATTAAAGAAAACAAAAGTCAACGTTTGTAGTAAAGACAGAGAGGCAAAATTTGTTGGTTTGGATGAAATTCTACATTTACAGACCTAATTTCGAAAAGTTGTTTAGGAGCTACATTAATACTAAGCTATACATATATGTACTTATATCCCAATAAGTTTTTTTTAAATATTATTTAGTATATAACAAAAAGTTACTGACTGATAAACAAGGTAAAGGCCTGAGTAAAGGGACAATGACCTCTAAAAAAAATTATTTCATTCACTTTCCTCCGTTTCACCGACTCCGAAATTCGAATGAGTTCTGTTCAGTGATAAATAAGTAATTAAATCTTAGAAGTCGACTTTGTCTCGTCAATTTGAAACTTTGTTACAATACTTAGAACTTATAATAGTTTAAGTATTAAATTCGTGTAATTATTTCAAATTTCCACAGCAAATTAGTGGAATTGAAACAAACCTTTAAATTTGCGTCCATTTAATAAATTTCGACATTAAGTAATATGATTTTATAGTTAGTAAAGGCAAGTTTATTTAATTAAAAAAAAACTAACAATTATTATAAGATGTATAATTTGTTTTTTAATAGTTTATTTCTTTAATAGATGTATGGCAGACGGACGTAACCATGTGCCGTGCTGTATTCAAGAGCACATACCCGATATCTGCCAGGACGTCTGTAGAGGAGAATATTCACCTGTCACTGACAATATCAAAACGCATTACTCTTGTGCTGCATCTATGGAAAAAACTTTAGCTTGTATTGTTGAAGGAATTGGTAAGATTTTTAAATTTAAAATGTATAACAGAAACATTTTCACACGCCGGATTTTCATTAGTAGTAACATAAAAGTTTAATAAATTAAAATATACTCAATATGAATAAAAGAAGACTTAATCTGATCATTGTTATGAAATTTGCTTATTTTTATTAAAATTAGAATGAAAAATTAAGTATAAAAATCCGATTTAAATAACCAAAATATCAAAAATCTCCATTTTAATTGATAGATATCATAGAATTGAATAATAATTATATTCCAGAACTACTACCAAGTCCCCCGGAAGATGTGGAAGTTGAACCTTTAAACGAAAAACAATTAAATGTGTCCTGGAACCCACCAACAGAAAACGTTGATTCAGTCACAGAATATGTTGTCAATGTGACAGCTTTGCGATCATTTGATGCCCATTTAATTGATCCCTCAGAGAGTTCCCTGAAAAATAGTACTACTAAAATGTCCTCAGTCACTTACAAAGTTCCATCAAATAAGAATTTTTTGGTTCTAAATAATTTGCTGCCGTTCACAATGTATGAAATTACTGTAACATCGTACAATATTCATGGATCAAGTCTACCGAGTTACGGAATCAGGTGAATTTATAATTTTATAACTATTTATAATTTACTAATATTTCAGTTACGCCTGAGAAACTTATTATTAAAATAATACGATCGACTAAAGTTGTTTCATAATTATTTTAATAGTTAAGTTTTTGTGAATTGATAAATGATACATTTGTAAAATATTCAAAACTGGTCTTGGATAGAAGGTTTCTTTCAAAAATGTCCTTTAAAATAACTACATTTAAATTTTTACTGATTTCAAAGTTGTTACAGTGTGTAGAACTAGCAAGAAACAAGTTATTCATTAACAAACTTTTACATATTATGTAATATTAGTGTGACAATTTTTTTATATAAACCTACTCGTAATAGATATAAATTGGATATCATTACATACATTATAATATATAAACAATTACAAATTTAATCATTTGGACAAAAGTATTTTATTAAAATATATACACGACTTCTAGGGTTCCGTACCTCAAAAGGAAAATGGAACTCTTATAGAATCACTTCGTCGTCCACCTGTCTGTCTGTCAAGATCCTTTTTCTCAGGAAAGCGTGGAGGTATCAAAGTTGAAATTAGTATCAGATACTAACCTCTAAGGTACTTCTTGTTGATCTAGAATCATGAAATTTGGCAAGAAGCAAGCAATATCTTATAGCACAAGTAAAGGGAAAAATTGGTAATTAGTAAATTTTTAGTTCCAACACAAAAAAAACATATTTTTGCGGGTATTTTTTAGTTCTATTTTTAATCCATTTAATTCTCCATAAAATCTAAAGAAGCATACAGCAATAGGTATTTTACATATAATTTTATGGTCCAGATCACTAACACTTACTCCTGGTAAGATGAGATCGACTGTAGTCGCGGCGGCCCCAAAGCTGCCTGATGTTAAGGGATGCTGCACTGCCGCTGGAGTGAACCACTACGGATGTGTGGAAAAATTATGTGATCCGACAAAAACTTTCGAAATTGGGGTAAGTTTAGTTGGGTGTACTTGGGATTATTCTTACCTATGTGTTCATTTATAGATTCATATCGAAACAACATCATTTCTTTTCGAACTGAACATTTTTTTGCTCATTTTTGATCATTCATTTAAATCATTACGTGAGTTTGATATTTCATCACGCGAGTTTTTATATAATATTGAATTTAACTTTAACATTATACACAGTATTACAATATATGTACAAGAATAAAAATTCCTAATTTTCTCATATAACTTTTTTAGGCTCAATTAATTCTAAAAATAGCAACTGATATATCCATAGAACTATGTCCTTAAATTATTAAATACTCTAACTCTACTTAAAACCACTCATTATACTACAACGTTTTATTTGTTCTTAAAATTTGGACGATAATATATAATTTTAACAAAGGATAAAATTATAAACTAAAACTATACTGAAAACTTAAGACTAGAGTTACCATTCTAATAACTATTTGGCCTTGTCCCAATTATAGCCGTAGTATTACGTAAAAAAGACGACATTTCATCATTTTCATATGACATTTTCATTTTATGTGTTATCAAAGCATTTGTGTATCACTAGATATTGCACACACTCATTTCCATTTGTGACTAACGCACAATCATCAAGAGAACACCTCTCTAATCACCAGTTGCAGGTAACAGACCTGATGATCTGCGCACCCTGGGCTGGAGTCACTTTCGGATGCCTTGCAAATGGACTAGACCATACTCCATGCTGCCGATCAAGAGGCTTGCCCGAACAATGCCTGCCGTTATGCAGCGGAAATATTACGTCCTTGGACTTCAATCACTTTAAGTAAGTTTGATAAAACTAAATGTGTTTAATAATTAGGTTTAAAACCATTTTATAATAAGAGAAAATGATCTGAATCGCTTTTTATTTTTTATATGTTATGGATTATGGAGGGCGTTCTAATTGTAAATATATCTTTTTATTTTTAATGAATAATTAATTCCACAAGAATCATAAAGAAATACCTCATAAAAATGCAAAAAATTTTAGAGAAGAAAACGTTTAAAATCTTTTATTTTGGAACCAAATCATAGGAATTGGCATGTATTATGATAAAAACTAACTCAGTAACAATCAACTAAGCCAAGTATTAGAATAGCAGAGTAAGATTGTAAATCAAATTATTTCAAAACTGAAACTAAACATTACTTGGTGCGCTTGATTCAATACTATAGCATATTTTTGTAGGCCTCGCTAATTGGACTTGCTTTATTTTTTGATCCCTCAACGACCGCGGACACGCTTGCGTTACAGTTAACAATAGATTTCTTAGAAATTTAATTAATTTCTTAGAAATTTACCTGGAGGTGTTAATAAAGAGAATATAATTATTAAACGTACTCGTATCTACTTTAAATCTTTTCAATTTAAAAATAAAAAAATAAAATTGATTAATAATCTGAAGATTAAAATAAAAACAATATCAACAGGTGTCTTCGCTATATGACCTCCTACACGAACTGCCTGCTCCAAGGGTACGGCGTCCTCCCTGGACCCCCATCTCGTCTCCATCTGACCAACATTGACACAGACTATGCTGTGGTACACTGGGCACCGCCAGCAGCTTTGGCTGATACCGTTCAATACTACAACTTGCACTTCAAATCATTGCAGTCAGAAGAAGATTACAGAACTTTGGATAAGGTAACATAAAGAACAAGTTATTTAAAAGATTTTTTTAATAACTATTTGCCTATGTAATCTTTCTTTTCAGGAATCTCATAAAAAAATTGACGACACGTTTGGCTCTGTTTGTAGTGACTCTACTTACTGTAACAGCGGCCGCGGGTTCGATTCCCGCTGGGGGCTTTTATTTGTGTGATGAGCACGAATGTTTGTACTCCGTCATGGATGTTTATATTTCTAATATGTATGTATTTATAGTTATATATGTGTAGTGTATCGACTATCTGGTATCCATAACACAGGCCTCGTAGCTCACCAAGAACTAGATGGCGCTGTGTGTTAATGTCGCAACATATTTATTGTTTATTTATTTATTATAATAACCCCTGAACAATTGGTATATGAATAGTTGTCATTAAAAAATAGTTTTATTTTGTATGTAGTCTGCCTTAACTAAGCCTTTTTATTTAATAGACTGAGTAAAAGCTATTATTTAAAGTATATAGAAGAAAATCATTTATTCATACGGCTATACCTTAATTGTAAAAAAAAAGTGCACCTTATATCTACCCTACTTTATAGTTACTTTTATTGATTTCATAGGTCCAATCACCGCATATCCTAGAAGACCTGGAATCAAACACCGATTATGAGATATTTGTGGACGCAGTCAATGAACATGGTGTTGGTGAAGCGTCTCCCAGACTTATATTTAGAACTCAAAGCCAGGTAATAAATACATATGTTATTATATTTTAATATGTTTTCTTAGACTTGCATTATCTTTTTTAACTTTGTATACTACAAAAATATTAATTATATAAGGAAATACTCTTTAATATTTAATTATAATAGATGAAGATTATAAGAGATGAATGATGATAAAATAATATCATAAATATTTATTTTAATAAGGAATGTGCGTGTGATTTAAATAAAGGTGAAATTATATTTATATAATTATATTTTTTTATATTCTTTATTGCTTTTGATTTAATGAAATTTCTTTTTCATTAAGAAAATAATTATTAAAAAGTGCAAACATAGATGGGAAATTCAAAGTAATTGAAATGCAATGCCATTGGTCAGACAGAATATGACGTCAAACTAAACAAAAGTCCTCATTGTATACGATATACTTTGACGTCACGCCAAGTGCACAAAATGGCGGGCGTTTAAAGTATCCGTATCGGTATGATATTCTTAAAATAAAATTTTATACTAAATTTTAGTTTTTCGGAGCTGGACATATTTTTTGCAATTATATAACGGTGTAAGCTGTTGTATAAAAAATAAAAAAAAATCACGCATATTCCTTATTATGTAATCGCAAGTCTAATCCTAACTCAAATTTAATTAGGTTTTGGAAGATGAAGAAGAAAATGCCAACGCCTACAACATAACAGCTTGCTGTGAACGTGTACAGTTGTCTAGTGTTTGCATGCCACTTTGTTCTTACAATGCCAAGATGTCCAACTTGAGAACCCTCGCACCGCTTTGTGAACAGGAGTTTAATAAGCTCGTCAGATGTGGCGCTGGAGGTAAATTGCTTTCTCTTAAACATCAAATCTTGAAATGTTATAAACCACTGATGTTACATACATACATACATAACTACATACATACATACATACATACATACATACATACATACATACATACATACATACATACATCCAAACATATAGATACGTACATGCTGTTTTTTAGGGAAGCGTAATGTAAAGTAATAATAATAAATTAATTATTAATTAATGAAATAATAATAAAGTAAATTATTCTCATTTTTAACCAACGGGAATTAATGATGTTTTATTAACAATATACTATCATATGACTATATTTATCACCCAAATGATACAAAATATTATTTATTTGCCGCGCTAAATATACAAGTATTTATGTTTGCTCAAACTAAGACTAAATAATACAGTGTTTACGAAATGCTGCCTCTAGCGATATTTGTTTAAGACGAGGATTTATAGAAACTACAACGCTCTTAGAAAATTATCTATTTCAAGTTGCTTGGACACATTTAGTGTTTAAACTTAAAACCATGTTTTTTTTTGAAACTAGGTACATTAAAAGAAAAAATATCATAAATACAACGTTTGTTACTCAATCACACCAGAACGTCTGAACGGATCTGGATGAAATTTCACAAAGAGATAGATTATAGTCTGGAATAGCACATAGCTTTTCCAAAGTTTTTTTATTACATAATAACTGTTAAAACGTACCTAGGGACGAACCCGAGCGAAGCGAAGGTGAGTCGCTAGTTGTATATATGTACAAGTAACGATCAGGTAACATTGTCTAAGATAAACGAGGAGATATTGCTATTGGATTATTAACTGCGACATTATTCTAACATGTACAACTCACACCTGTAAGTCCTGGGTTCGAGTCCCGGGTTGGGCTCAGCACAGTAGTTGGATTTTTCTATTGAAAAGTTTTTAGTAACAATCTGGAGCTTGGAAGTTGGCGGTATCGAATAGATAAATATTAATACTACATAATAATAATACAAACATTTCATTATAAAGGTCGCAATCACGAAACTTGTTGTGCAAGACGAGGTGTGCCAGCTTCATGTCGAGGCGCTTGCACAGGAGCTTATAGCGGCTTATTCTACTCTTGCATTGCGTATGTTGGCAACATCGTGCAATGTTTTGAAGAGGGTAAGATTTTCTACAACTAGTACTGAATATTAATGTATTACAGTAATTTTGCTTATTACATTCAATGTCAGTGATTATATACTCACATGGTGTTTGTTTGTTAGTATAGAGAGATTTGGACTTGGTCGAAATACAAACAGTCCTACTTTTTACCCGAATATAGCTTATCTATACATATTATACTAAAATTCTAACTGAGTCGATTCTGTACATTAAATATTTTTTGAAAAATCTTATTGAAATAGTCATTAATATAGATACAGATGGCGAATCTATAATTTTTAGAATTTTTGTCTGTTTGTCTGTCTGGGAACGCATCACGAAAAAACCACTGGACAGATTTTGATCACATTTGATATGGTGATAGCTGATTATCCGGGTCAACATTTTGGTTCACGGCGGTAAAATATCTCATCTCTGAGAAATATAATCTAACCGCTAAAACCTTCCAAGGGACGAACCGTAGCGAAGCAAGGATGAGTCGTTAGGTAAAAATGTTAAATAAATGTGACATAATAAATTAGAAAAAAAAATTAAATGTATACTTCCGTTAGATATTTACTGTTAATTTTATTCCATACAGGCACTGGTCTCCTACCTGGCCCTCCAAGAGAAGTACACGCAGTGATATCCCACGACAAGTTGTTCTTGGACTGGACAATGCCAACGGATGGGGCTAATGCCACTTCATACACTGTACACTGGCAAAAAATAAGCAATAACACTCAGCCCTACTATTACAATACTGTACAGCTAGACAACGTAAGTTAAGAATTAGATTATATACTAGATATCCTATTGGTATTTTAATATAGCAAAAATATTTTTTTAAGTATTTATGATTTTATACTAATTAAAGAAATTTATTTATCATTAGGAAATAATGATGTAGTTAAAAGTTTATCTATTTTATATGTAAAAAATACATAAACATATATTACTTTAAATATGATATCTAACAAAAACTGAATTATATTTTAGCAAATGAACGTAACACAAACGATGGCGCGTATTGAAGGGCTGGAAGTGAACAGCACTTATCATCTTTTCGTAGTGGCTGTAAATGATAAAGGGACATCTCTACCTTCTAGTATGCTGCTTCTTAACATCACTGACGGAGGTATGAAAAAAAACTTAATTATTATTAAAAAAACTTAATCCACTGTGTCTCTATCACCAATTAATTATCTATGTATTGAACATTAAAAGAAAAAATTGGATGAACTTTAAGTAATGATTTTTTTTTATAATTTAAAGACGAAATTCTCGAAAGAGTTCCAAAATATCTTACTCATAATTCCATATTGATTTTAAACAGACACAGAAAACAAGGAAGTGTCAGGCATCCCATCTCCTCCACACTCGTTATCTGTGTCATCGCACTCGGCCACGTGGCTAGCTCTTAGTTGGCAACCACCACAATTTTCATTACCTGATGAGAAAATTTCTTATACGTAAGTAATATTTAACAATGTAATTTGATTATTTCAACAATATAAATACAGTAAAATTTCAATTATAATATATAATAATCATGCAAATCCGCGGTGTAATGTTTGTTTGTAAAATCTGACTCGACTCAGTATGGTTATTATTTATGTATTGATCAAACAAATAACAATTCTTCTTTTCCTCTCAGATTGTACTACAAGATGCCAAGTCAGACCGGCCAGAGCAACGTCACTAAGATCACAACTTCTGTGTCTGGTCATACGTTAGAGAAGTTGACTCCTAACACTCAGTACGTTGCATGGGTGAAAGCACATACTGATGCTGGCGACTCCTTGCCTTCAGAGACATTGTTAGCTTGGACCGATCCGGCTTATCCAGCATTTGTAGAGGTGAGATGTGGACCACTTTAATATTTTCATAATATATACAAAATCTAGATAGAGAAGAAGAATAGTCACAAATAGGTGACTATTGTTATTCAGGTCATGAACATTTTTATGAAAGCTTTGTTCTGGTCTATTGAGACCCATTATTATAATAATATTATCCCATTTAATACATGCAAAAGTTTGGATGAATGTTTGTTACTCAATAACGACAGAACGGCTGAACGGATCTGGATGAAATTTGGGTCTGGAATAGCACATAGATACTTCTTATCGCGGAAAAATGTACGGTTCCCGTGGGATAGATTTGTTTATATTTTTCAGTAGCGACGAACCCGAGCAAAGCGAGGGTGAACCGCTATTAATGAAATATATTTCACTAAATAATACTAACTTCCAAGTTTTGGTTAGAAAAATATTATTTTTCATAGAACTATTTTATCTCGCAATGTTTCAAGATTTTAGCTCTAGATGCAGCGATTTTATTGTAAGTTAGTCAATCAGAATGTAATAATTATTTCATGTATAAATTTTTTATCTTTTTTTTTTAAATACTTAATTTTTATGTTTCCTACAGCCGCCAACAATAAATCCTGTCAACTTAGTCGTAGAAGGAACCAGTATGACGATACTCTGCATTGCGATGGGAACTCCGACGCCAACCATATCTTTATACATCTCTGGTAAGAATACATTGATAAATGATAAAAATAATACCGGAGAGCATCATGGTGCTTCGAAATAGAAGAATTGACTGTATTACATAGGTTCACTTTAAACATTTTTACCCTACTGTGCAGAGCCCAAAAGGAGGGTTATCTATTTAAATTTTATGTATGTGTGTACGTGCCACATTGTGGCTGCATACTACTATGTTCTTAGGTCAACTTGGTCCATGCTTTTTAATCGCTTTTTACACAATTTGGTTTTTTATTTTTATTTATTAAACTATGTTACAAACAAACCACGAACAAACTAGACTAAGTCAACTAGGCTTGATTAATTTTCACCATTTTATTTTATTTCTCATACACAAAAATATTTTCGAGTGTATAGAAATACCATAAAAAATAAATTAAGTAAAGTATATCGCTCGTTTGCCTCACATCAGCCTTCACAGCAATATCTATCACTCAACCCTAATAAAATCAACAGTGAATTGGTTGTCAGCATTATAATTGACACTTGATACTTGTTGATCGATTACATGACAATTTGACCTCAAGTGCGTCGTCCTTCCTGCCAATTCAAAATAACCGAGTTTTTCTTTTAAAAATCCATGTAAAATATATTTTGTTTCTATTTTTTGAAAGCAAACTGTATTTGATTTTGGTCATGTTACGAAAAATCAGAAAAATGTAAAAATCCTATTCCTATGTAGCTGATTCGTTTTGCAAAAAACCTAGTTTGTAAACAAGAACGGGAAACGAAGTCAATGAAAACAGCCATTTAAAAAAATAGATACATAAATAAGAATGTAATATATTTTATTTAAAAGTCGATTTTTATACCAAATCATACCAAAATACATTAGTGACAACCGCATCAACCAAATCGGTTAAGCCGTTTCTGAGATTAGCGCGCACAATCGCACAGACAAACTGACAAGTAATCTAAAAATGATTATTTTGGGTTCTATTACGTTTTACTCAAACATCTTCTGTGTACAGACAGCGATCAGTTACAATTTTATTATATGTATAGATTATGAATATATTTTATTACAAAGGAAATTTAGGTTTAAAATCTCATTCTCATTCATGGCTTGTTAAGTCAATAGCAACAACATTTGAGACTTTACCCCTGACAGTTGCCTGAGTTAGTTTGACTCAAGCCAAAGTACTCGTAGCATCCATAAACTATGTGATAGAGTAATTCTGATCCTCTATTAATTAGTAATACGCTAACTTATTGTGACGTTTAAATTAATACTAGCTTTTACTGTGATTTTGCTCACTTTGTTACCACGGGAATATATTAAATATGTACTGCAACATCGAAATCTATTTATGCGTTATACACATTATATGTTAAAACGTACACCTGATTTAAAATCTATAGGTATATACATATAATAAAGTTCTAACTGTGTTTGGAAATCTTATTGAAATAGACATTATTATCGATACAGAGTCCGAATCTATAGTTTTTAGAATTTTTGTCTGTCTGTCTGTCTGTCTTTCTGTCTGTCTGTCTGTCTGTATGTCTTTTACCGCATCACAGCAAAACAACTGGAGGGATTTTGATGAAATTTAGTTTGGTCATAGTTGGTTATCCGGGTCAACATATAGGATACTTTTTACCGCAGGAAAATATCTCATTTCTGAGAAAAAATACAAAAACTGGTTAGAATAAAACCACGATGATACTATATATATTTTAGCAAGGTAACATACTAAATAAGGCAAAAACTATTAAAAATAGCTTATCTTGAAAAAAAATAACAATAGCGCTATTTTATTTGGTTTTTGGTCATCTGAACGCGGGCGGAGCCGCGGGCAATGCTTGTACAGAATAAAGATAACTAGCATCCTGAATTAACATATACATACATAGGTAACTCTTGTACACGTGAGCGAAGTCGCGGACATAAATTATTAGTGTACGAGTATATAAAATAAACTTAATAAAAACTCTGTGAATAAATCCAAATCGATGTAACATGTATATATAACAACAGTGGAATGGACCTGCCAGGTGGCGTAAATGGAAAAAACTACTCTTCATTGAATATTTTACCATAAAATCGATATTTCATCGATGTACATGCATATGGTCTAAACTAGTTAAAAAAACAGTTCAAACTATAAGGTTTTTAATAGTAGCCATTGTTCTCGTATCGAAGGGTGTAACAATGATTTTTTTCCAGGGTGGGGTAGGTTGTAAAATATTTTTTTTTTCATAAACACATCTGTCATACGTTTTAACGAAAATTCAAACATTAAAATGTTAATTTATTTATATATAGACTAGCATTGCCCGCGGCTCCGCGGCAGATGACCAAAAACCAAATTCTTAGGTTTGACATATTAGTATACTCTTACATTGCAGTTTTTGTATTTTTTCTCAGAAATGAGATATTTTCCCGCGGTAAAAAGCATCCTATATAGCTACCCGGATAACCAGCTAACACCATACCAAATTTTATCAAAATCCCTCCAGTGGTTTTTCTGTGATGCGGTAATAGACAGGCAGACAGACAGACAAAAAATCTAAAAACTATAGATTCGGACTCTGTATCGATAATAATATTTATTTCAATAAGATTTTCCAAAAAATATTTGATGTACAGATTCGGCTTAGTTACAATTTTATTATATGTATAGAGAGTACGTCTCGCTGAGAGCTTATCTACATACTATAGTTATCTTACTACCTACTGCTTATAATTCTAACAGGAGCCTAACTGCAGATATTTGAATTTGATATGACTTACTATTTAGTTTACTATAATAGTAAGAAATTTCAATAAAACTCACGGGTTCATTATTAATTTTCGCTAGAACTTTTATTGAGTAATCACAATACGTTAAAATTAAGTTAGTTTTGGATATCAAAAATAACTTATAAAGCATTAATAATATTTCTGAACCTCAGGTCGTCTCGTCCGTCAAGAAGTGACTCGCCACATGGTGACGGTGGTCCACAATGTTACTCGGGATATGGACCTGATATCTTGTTACGCTGACAACGGCTATGGAACTCCTATGCAAGCTTCTAGGAAGATCAATATTTCACGTAAGTATTTATTGATACTTGTATAATATCATAATCATCATCTTCGTCTCAGCCCAAACACGTTCACTGCTGGCCATAGGCCTGCCCCAAAAATTTCCACGACCACCGGTCTTGTCCCATCCGCGTTCAGTGGTCTCCAGCGACTTTGACCAACTCGTCAGTCCAACTTGAGGGAGGCCCACGCTTTGCCTTCCGGTAAGTTCTAGAATTTTTCGTCCCCAACCACCGTCCGTTCTGCGAGCAATATGTCCCGCCCACTGCCACTTGAGCTTGGATATAGATTGATTTCATAATCACCATTCAAAATTTGAGGAAAATTTATATGAATAGAATTCACTTATCTAAAAAAAAACCGAAACCGGTTGGGGGTGGAAACCGAGTGAAGCGGGTTCAAATCCCGGGTCTCACACCTCTGATATTTTCATGTGCGAATCATTTCTAACAAGATTAGCACATGCTTTACGGTGAAGGAAAACATCGTGAGGAAACCTGCATGTTTGAGGGAACTAAGCAAGTTTTCGAAAGACATGCTCAGTCCGCCCGCACTTGGCCAGCGTGGTGGACTATGGCCTGATCCCCCGCGTAGTGAAGGGAGGCTCGTACCCAGCAGTGGGACGTTAAAAAGGGCTGAGTATAATATAGCTCTATATGTACTACGATAATCTGATATTTTCAAGAAAATCTATATTGTAATTCAAAATCTTTAAAATTTAGTTTTCATCTAAAACATATGCAGACGCCGCGAAATTTTAATTTACGTCGAACTTTATATAAAACTTGTAGCAATATTTTCCTATACGAGAACACGTAATACAAAATTTTCTAGACTAGATATAAAATTATAGGGTTTCCGAAAGTAAAAAATATAATATATTTTTAAATAAAACTATCTTCTCCGATTAATCGCAGATTTATTTTGATTTTTGGTTCCCGACGTTTCGAATGCTTTATAGCAATCATGGTCACGGGAGAGACTAAGGTTTTGGACTTTTCAAAGGTCATCATATAGTTTTTACAGACAGCACCTACCCACAAAATTATAGAATGATTTTTAAAAATACAAAAATGGCACCAAAGTACCTTATACTATATGTTAACCTTAATTTTAAACAATATTTATAATTATAAAGAAGATAAGAAAAATAGTTATATTTAAAATCTCAAATATTCGCGTAAATCTAAGAAAATCTTCTTCTCCCTGCCCATTTCCCAATCACTTGTGGTCGGCGCAGTACATCCTCTGTACTGCTGAAAGGATTTGGCAAAAGTTTTACGACCGGCCGCCTGCCTGACGTCAACCCTCCTTGGGAATGCTATTGTTTATCGCGGAATATGTCTTATGATATGTCTCTTATATATATATATATATATATATATATATATATATATATATATATATATATATATATATATATATATATATCACTGATTATGTCTTGTAATATGATACACTTTCACTATTTTTGTCTTAAATCATTTTTTATACTATTAATTAAAGTTTAATGTTATTTTCGTATATATTTTAAAATAAATTTTAATCTAAGAAAATATTATATAAGAAATATGTGTTATCTCGCGCCAGACTTCCCAATTTTTCTAAAATAAACTAAATCTTAGTTTAAATTTTCCAACTAAAATAAGTACTTTTTAATAAATTTTCATTACTATTTATGAATATATAGTATCGCTTAAGTATCATAAAGGGTACAGTAAAACGACGAAATGGTTTTATAACTTTTTCCCTTACATGTTGTAGACGCGACTGGGATTCATAAATTGTATTAAAAAATTATAACCCCGAAAATTATGTTATTTTAAATGAACTATGACAAAAATTAAGCTTCTTAAAGTTTTTAATACAATTTACGTCCCACATTTATGAGATCGATCTTATAGAGATGTACACTTAATGGATAGAGTAAAATTCCTGCTCTTCTCAATCGAAAATGTTACATGCGTGTTTAATTCCACAATGTTGAGTCCTAATTATTGGGGCTTAAAACGTAAGTATATTATACATACACTATAAACACATGTTAACATAATTAACATTGCATAGCTTTTAATACATTAACGACGAATCTTCAAGAATCAAAAATCAAAATAAATCTGTGAAAAAATTAGAAAGATAGTTTTATTTAAAACTAGCGACTCACCCTTGCTTCGCTCGGGTTTGTCCCTAGGTGATTTTTAATTGACATAACTTTTTTATTTATGAATCAATTAATATTCAGTGAAACTTACCACGAACATTAGTGAAAACCGCACCCAAATTGGTTAAGCCATTTCTGAGATTAGCATGCACAAACGCACGGACAAACAGACAAAAATTCTAAAAATCATTGTTGTCGGTTCTATTACGTTAATTAAGACCCCCCAATAATAGTTTTTCTCAAATATCTTCCATGTACAGATAACGATCAATTACAATTTTACGAGTATTATATGTATACTCGTAGATGTTATACAGGGTCATTTTTAATTTACTGAAAACTTTTTGGGAATATACTGTTTACACCATTGCAACAATTTGTAAGAAAAAAATAATAATATTTCTTCAATTTTACAAAAATAAAAGTATTTTTATTGCTCCTTCTAAGCGGTAACAGTCCAGCAATTAGCAAAAGAAAGCGTGTGACCGGTGGAAGAGAAGGAGTGGAGGGGTGTAGGGAGCGGCCCTTACTCATTTAAACTTGGCCAGAGGCTAGAACTTTACCGTTTACAAGGTGCAATAAAAATAATTTTATTTTTGTATGAAATATGAAAATAAAAATTTAAGAAATATATTTTTTTCTTGTTACAGATGTTGTTGTTCTGATGTAAATAGTAGTGTATTCCCAAAAGGTTTTCAGTAAATTAAAAATGACCCTGTATATTCGCGTAAATCTAAGAATGTATTTTAACATACCTTATATGAAAGTTAATAATAATTACAACTTCTCTTCTATCTCCTTAGACATACCGACAATCCAAGCATCTGGCATCACGATGGCTGCAGCGGGTGATTCTGTGATTTTAGAATGCAGAGTGGAAGCCCTTCCTAAGCCTACTATAGCCTTCTGGAGAGACCCTAATGGACGGACACCTGTAATTGATGGTCCAAATTACACAATTCAACTACTGGCCGATGCTGAGGTAGGATTTTAACAAGACATACATACATACATAGTAGCGTGATTTGCTGTTTATAATACTATTCTCGATTTTGCTATAAAGGTCGTTTACTTTCTTTAAAGAATAAGCGACATTTTATATATGTATTAGTTATGTTAATATACAATTTTTGAGAAGAAGTTACGAATAATAAAAATAAATATTCTTCTATACTTTTGAGCATTAGTTCTCCTTGAAAGAGAGATAGCATAAGATTAGCTTGGATATTTTTTTCTTTATTATAATAAAATCCGTTAGCTATTTTTTTATTTATTAACATACATAGAGTTATCATTTATTGTCATTTTTATAGTGTTTTAAAAACATTATTGTTTCGCTTCATGCTTAGTTCTATGACACTGTCTATATTTTTCATTAGTTTAAGGGACAAACATAAATAAATAGTTAATTAGGCCATTGGTAATGTGCTTGCTTGAAAACCGGTGAATGGGTTCAAACCCTGGAACTCCTACTACTTTAATACCTATAATATTATGGGATTGAGGATTTATCAACAATAAAACTATGTAATATGTACGTTTCATAATTTTTCCTTCAATATTTTACGGTCTTTCGGTCGGTCTGTTACGGTCTATGTCTTTGCATCCTTATTGAAACTGACTTTTTGAAGCCGACAACACTCTGTCTCTTTCACTCATTCATTCTTTCATTCACACATTAGTCATAATAGTTTTTATTTCATTTTTCTTAGTTTTAATATTATAAATATGAAAGTTTTTGAGGATGTATGGATGTCTGGATGTATTAGATGTATAGATATTTGTTATTATTTCACGCAAAAACTACTGAATAGATTTTAACGAAACTTTACAATAATATAGATCATACATCAGAATAACACATAGGCTACTTTTTATCCCGGAAAAATATACGGTTCCCGTGGGATAGACTTATTTTTGTTTAAGCCGCTAGTAAATATAAAAGTCTCCTAAGGAGTGAAGAGTGTTTAAGTCGACAATACAATACGACAAAATATGGCAGCGGTAAGTAACCGTTGCCGTAACACGTAATTTCCGGATAGTCGTTCTTATTCACCGTATTTTCAATCGACTAAAATAGTAATTTATTGGGGTTAAGCTGATTAAAATAACTCAACAAGTATTTATTTGGTCTTGCAGAATTTGGACTTTATCAAATTTTCGAATCCCACAATCTTCAAATACTCTGAAGAATCTAAAATTCAATAACAAATTCCAATATCCATTCATAGAACACTGTTTTATATATATTATGTTGAATACGATTAATGCTAACTTCTTCCAAAAATAAATATTTGTACGTTCAATACAAAAACCCTTTGGGAAGTCAAACGCCATCTCTATTACAAGGATTGTATCAATAAACTTATTTTTAGCTCCTATTAATTAAGATTGCTTATGAGGTACGAGTATAATCTCGTTCACTAATGACCTAAGCCACAATCGCTGTCTTTGGAGACCGCGATATGATTAATAGCTGTATTGGCAGAACTTGAAATTGAAATATGAGCTTCTTTAAAGCTATGTTAAACTTAAAATAGATTTCTTTCTAAATTTAATATTTCTTTGTGGTGTTTTACGGAGATAAAGAAAGAGAGAGAGAGACGGGAGAGAGATTTAATGATTACTCTTTTCGCTCTCCGCTTTTTGCCAGTTAGGTGTTTGTAACGTTGTGCTTTTTTTAGAACGATACAAACATATCGATTTGCTAGAAGGCTGTACTTTGGTCTCACTTAGTTTGAAGTACTCACTCTGATAGATGAAAGTTAAATTTTTGTCAAATAAAACACAATATATTTTTTAAGAAATTAAAAAAAGAATATAGTAAGTTGAAGAGTTTGAAAGTACGAATCTTATTACATATATTAAACGAGCAATTCTTGTATAATATACATTTATGTATATACGCATACATTTATTTCGTGTATCTCAGAAACGGCTCTAACGATTTAGATCAAATTTTGTATTTAGATAAGGTTTTGCTTTTTAAGTTTATCTATATAAGTGTTATTTCTGAAAAAAAGCACAGCTTTTATATATTTTCCTAAAAAATATCATGTTACAAAAATACGCCTAACGAAGATCTTTCCTCCAGGTAGGTAGTATAGCGTGAAGTCATATATTATACAAAAATAAATTGTTATTAACGTAACAAATGGCCTTCATATATCACGCCTAAATCAATCTGAGTCCAATATTTATTGAAGAACGTTGAATTTATGGTAGCCTAAAAGCTAGCACATGCTTCTTATGACTTGGCGTTTTTTAATGTTTCAAAATTATTATTCCCAATCCTGTCGTCTGTATATAATAATATCAATTATTATACAATTTATATATGTAGGTATGTATATACACAACATTTCTAAGTATTATATGTCTATACTAATATTCTAAAGAGGTAAAGTGTGTGAGTTTATGACGTTGTAGGGGTAACCTCTGGATCTACTGAACCGATTTAGATGATAGTTTAAAAGATAGTTTGAGACCCTGGGGAGCACAGAGAATACTTTTTATCCCGGAAATCATGCCTTAAGAGATTGAAAACTGGTATGAAAGTTTGTATGGAGAATCATGCTAGGGACGAACCCGAGCGGAGCGAGTTTGAGTCGCTAGTTAATTAATATAAATATATTAGTTCTAGTAGCGACTGACTCTCGTTTCGCTCGTGTGCCACTACTTTAAGATACTTTTTAACCGACTTCATAAAGTAAGATCCGATATCCATGATTTATATGAAACTAATCATAAGATGCAACCACATACCTCACAAAAAATCAGAAAATATATATATTTTTTAAATAAGTGTACCTTTTTAGTTAAAAAGTAATTCAATTCAATTTTTTTGTTAATGGCTTCAAAGCGTCCCAGTTGATTCGCCAATGTCACGTAGAATGAAGAAAACACTAAAGAGATTGGTTGGTCAATTAATAAGATCATTAAAACTTATATCCTATTAATATTATAAATGTGAAAGTTTGTGAGGATAGATGGATGACTGTTAGTGTTTGTTACTCTTTAATGCCAGAACGGCTGAACGGATTTAGATGAAATTTTTCATAGAGATAAATTATTGTCTGAAATAGCACATAGGTTACTTTTTATCCCGAAAAATTGTACGGTTCCTGTGAGATAAGTTGTTCCTGTCTAGGTCTAGAGGTCTAGTCTGACAAAATCGAAGCGAAGCAAGGGTGAGTCGCTAGTTAAATTATAATGTCTACAAAGGGGGGTAGTTAAAAAGTAAACTAATTAAAAAGTAAAAATATCTATTATTATAATACAATCTTCGTAGAATATTCGTAAAATAAAACTAGATTTGAGTTAGGAAGTCTCCAAGATCAAGGGCGTTATTAGTTAAAAACGTTAGATCTTCAACCTGATCTATCTATTAAGATCAAATGTTACAGCTTCATATTAATAAAAATGTCTTTAATGAGTATAAAAAAAAACAGCACACTCGAGTTGGTAGCGAAACTTTTCAAGAACTATAGACATTGTAGGACTGGTTTGTTTTACTGAGTTGCATCATTCCACTTGAGGTCAGGGTCGTCTTCTAATAAATGACTAATTGGTGGAGATAGATTGTTTTGTTCTGAAGTCACTTCAATATGTGAGGGTACTAATTAATTTTATACAATCTGTTTGTTGTTTCCTCTTTTAATAGAACTTTACATAGAATCTGATCTATACATATAATAAAATTCTGACTGGGTCGAATCTTTACATTAAATATTTTTTGGAAAATCCTATTGAAATAGTCATTATTATCGATATAGAAGCTGAATCTATAGTTTTTAGAGTTTTTGTCTGTCTGTCCGTCTGTCTGGGAACGCAACGATAGTTAGGTACTTTGTTACACTTATTTAGTACTAGCGTAACAGAAAATAAACGTGACATCACGTGACTGTGACGTCCATGTTTTCATTTTCTATATGTAGAAAGAATAATGCAAAAACAATTTTAGAATTAATTTAAATTACAATTGTATATTAACTACCTATAAACAACCATAAAGTCGTCTGTCCATAAATAAATCTAGTAATACATTTTCATAACATCACTATGGAAATTTGATTTAATGTTAAACTTATCCCACGAACTTCATTCTTATTCATAGAATACATACAACTAAAAGTCTATCAATATTTTTTATTTATTTATTTATTTTTATTTATTTATTTGGATCCACTAGTGAAAATTAATTACATTTAAATATTTTTAAATTAATTACACAATTTAACTTAATTCTAAATGCATTACCTTTTAAAGTGGATACAGCACGCATAATTAATTTAATTCACAACTTTAAATTTCGTAAAATTAAAATATAAATAAAATTACAATAACATCACTACGTATAAATAATCGGAATTTGAAAAAAAAACACACATACATTAAAGCTATTAAATAATATGGAAGCATTAAACTTCAATAAATAATTAATTAAAAAATTAAAAAAATATATTATTATTGACACATTTATCAATTTAGTAAAAATTACACAGCAAATGCCTAAAATAAACAATTTTAAACAAAAAAGCGCTCTCTTCACTGATGGATCCAGTTATGTTATCCAGTATTTGACTAACCAATAATTTGAAACTCAAAATGTACTTTATATGAACAATAACTTTTACAAACACTTCAAAAGTAAAAATTCCACCCTTTGGATAGAATGTATCATATAAGACAAACACCTTTATGAAATCTTTTAATTTAAATTCAAACAAGAGTGATTCTAATTGCACACAGAGAGCCCTCTATATTATGAAGCTGTAAATTTATATGCTGCATCTCTAAGCTCGAATGGTGTAGGAAGACATTAAAGACAAACATCCAAATAAAAATATATTTTTTTTGCGTAAAAAACTGCCACAGGTGTATACAAAATAACCCACCAGTGTATCCTCACAATTAAATCGATGGTTTCGGAAGGCATAGTGGACAAACATACGAACGTAGTTTTTGATTTATATAGATTTATTTTTATTGAGTGTTTATTCTCTCTCTCTCTCTCTCTCTCTCTCTCTGTGTGTGTGTGTGTGTGTGTGTCTGTCTTTCTCTCTCAGGATCTCACATAATGTTTGTTCAACCTACGCCGTTAATACACTACGTTTCACGTAACTATACATAGATTATGCAAGGTAATGTAAATCAAAACTTGTCATAGTTTAGATAACTTATGGAACCTGTTATCGAGTTACCGACATATTACTAAACTCTAACTTTGATTGATTAAAGTCATGGCGCTCGTCTTCCTTTTAATTAGTTAACAATTTACCTTTACCAAATATCTAGTACATATTATATCCGTTTATACTGATATATATTTGCTTAGCTTTTTGAGATTATGTTTATATATTAGCGATAAAAATGTAATTTACATTTCATTCTACCTCACAGCATCCTTTTTTTATAATAACTAAACCGGCCTGGCAGACTTTTTTTAAACACTTAATATGTAAATTAATTTGAACCAAAAGCAAAAATTTCTATATCTTATATTCCCTCCACGACCGCGGACACGCCGGCGTGTCAGTTAACAATAGATTTCTTAGAATTGTAATTAATTTCTTAGAAATTTACCTGGAGGTGTTAAAACTTTTTAATGACACACACTCACACCAAATGAACACACACAAGATGGACGACAACAACGTTCAAATTATCTCACACAATACATTTTTTTTTTTTTTTTTAACGTTGGGAAATGCATTTACGCACGACGTGTGGGACTCACCGGAGTAATACAGCCAGTACTACCCACTAAAACCCAACAAAACCTTAATCCTAATGGGACGTCGCAGGATCGCTTACGCATTCAACTACGACGCCCCGACGGCAGGTCTGCCGAAGCAGACCACCACAACCATGGGGTTGCTCCACAGTCCACTCTGCTATCAGAGAAGTACCAGGAGCAACCCGCAAGGTACACCGCCCCCCGAAGAGGGCCACCTCCCCCCGCCCACCGAAGTGGGCAACCTCCCTGTGCGTTTCTTAGCTTCGCGCCCGGTTGGATTGCCGAGCACTACTGAGCCCCCCCACCACGACAAGGTGAACGCACGTTAGGGGGGAAACAATACATGCACCATCGCAGTTAAAGGTCAAAATTAAAAATTAAATACAATATTCTATCTTTTTATGATCATGGAATAAATTCTTTATATAATGTATATATAAATTTTGTAATGACAAAATAACAGCTTTTTACTAAATAAATATAAAATAATACGGTACTAATAAGAAAAAAAATCATCTTTATTTTATTTGTCTATCGGTCTGTTTGTTCCGGCTTATCTCTAAAACGGCCAAACCGATGTTGACTGGACTTTCTCTGGCGGATAGCTGATGTTATAAGGAGTAACTCAGGCTACATTTATTTTAGAAAAATCATCACGGTTTAGAAAAAAAATTAAAACATGAATGATGAAATTGTGAACTAAATCCGCGCACGATTTATTTAATACGTAGTATTTTATTTTTAATATAAAGATATCGAACTACATTTTGTACATCTTTCTTTCAACAGGAAAAAACAAAGTACACAATGCGTCTGATAATAAAGAAGATAACAGAAGCAGATGAAGGCGATTACTTCTGCCACGCAGAGAACGCTTTCGGCAAGACACTTAGACCAGTTTCGGTGCGTCTAAGGTCTAGCAATCCTCATCACAACGTCACCGAATGCTGTACTCAGGTAACTAAGTTTTGTTTTCCTCTTAAATAGTAGATAACTTATTATATAAGTTATTTTAGACGAACATTGAATGGCAGTTCAATAACATTCACCCCAATTAAGTATGAGCCTAATTGGGGTGAATGTTCTTGTCTTTTTTTATATAATATGTTAGTAACGTTTTCTCTTTTCTTAATATAAATAAATCGATTTTCTTGGAAGACATAAATAGTTAGCAATACTCTTTACAAAAAAAAACAGATAATCTTCGAAGTCCAGGATAGAGGTCACGAGTTCGAATTGCGTTCGTGGCAAAAGCTTGTAGCGACTACACAGATGTTCACTTAAATCCCATCTTACTCAAATAACAACGTCTGTAAAAGAAATGGAATGCCAAAAAATCGTCTATTGAAAATATAATAAAAAATTTGCACGTATTTCATATCTGAATAAAATAATCAATAAAGAGATGTATTCATATTAGTATTAGTGATACTGAAAAAATAGCTCAATAAGAATTAATATTTCTATAGACTTTACAATATTTTATATTTTAAATGAAACAAAACAGACAGACAAAAATTCTAAAAAGTATAGATTTAGCCTCTGTATCGATAATAATGACTATTTCAATAATGTTTTCCAAATCAGTTAAAATTTTATTATGTGTATAGATTTTGTTCCTAACATCTCGAATGCTTTACAGCAAATATGGTCACGGTGAGACCATATCTCTAACCGTGACAAAATCCGAAAATATGATTCCATTTAAATAAAAATTCGCGTTAATATAACAAAGTATTAATAACAATTAATTTTTCAGTATCACCAAAAACAAATACATCACTTTAAATCAATTATTATTATTATTTTATTCAGAAAATAAATTAATATCGCTTATTAAGTAGATCGAACAGCTGTCGTCGATTCAATTTCCCAACAATTCTGAGACTACTAAAACTGAAATAGTCTAGCTCCAGACTTTGACGACATTGCTCGGAACTCGCCAATTTCCAAATTATACATTGCGAGGTGGCGATGCTGATACATAACATGAATATGTTATAAATAATTTACTTTTGTCACATATTTCTTATTTTTCTTTCTCTATAATTTAGACTAGCGTTGATTCTCCATATAAACTTTCTTCCCCATTTTCACCCCTTTTAGGGATGATTTCCGAAATAAAAATATCCTATGTTTTTCCAGGGTCTCAAATTATCTTTTTACCAAATATCATCTAAATCAGTCCAGTAGTTCAGTCCAGTAGTTTATTCATTACAAACATACAAAAATACATATATTTATAACTGCAGTAGTGTAGATAAGTAAAATCTATATCTATATACATATAATAAAAGTGTAACTGATCGCTGTCTGTACATGTAAGATATTTGAGAGAACTATTATTGGGGGTATCGTATTCACGCAATAGAACCCAAAATAATAATTTTAAAATTTTGTTTGTTTGTCTGTGCGTTTGTGCGCGCTAATCTCAGAAACAGCTTAACCGATTTGGTTGTAATTTTCACTAATTTATTATGGTAAGCTTTACTTAGCATTTAGTATTTGTTTTATTTCAGTTGGTTCATAAATAAAAATGTAATGTCAATTTAAAGAATCGACTGCTAAAAAAAAAGCTATAGTAATTTTAATTATAAACCTGTTTGATGTATGTTTGCAATTAAATATTTTTAACCTTCGCAATTCTGGACACCAAAGTGGTAATACTCGTAATACAAGAAAATCTATCTATAATAATAATTACTTATGCTTCCTAGTTTAAATATACATATTTATACAAAAATACAAGATGCTACGCCTACACAAAAATGTATCTTAAAAACAAAATTAAGACTAATTCAATATCTTTTTTTATTACCGTAAGATCGAATTCGAAAAATTGGAATTTCCATTTGTGCTTCGTAACAGAAATAAGTATACAAAATCAACAAGATATGTACCTCGAAATGAGGTGACTTAAAACTAAGTATATTATACTTAGTTTTACGATTTAAGCGAATATTTGACATTTTAAACAAAACTACCTTTTCGGAATTTTTCGCGCATTTATTTAAATTTTTAGTTCCCGACGTTTCGAATGCTTTATAACAATCGTGGTTACCGGAAACCAATAAAGATATATCATTATAGGAGACCAAAAAAGAGATAAAAACTATATATTTTCTATTTTTTTATACAGATGAACGTATCGTCTGCTTGCATCGACGCTTGCAGCTTCCATCTGGACATGGACAACATTATGGACCGGCCAGAGTGTATGAACGATTTTGACAAACTAATGAAATGTGCTGCGGATGGTTCAGGTGATTATACAAAGAGTATACAAAGAGTTATTAAAAGAGTATTTTAAGAGTATATTGGCAACTGTTAACACTTTCGGTTTTGGGGTTGTTTAAAAGTAATTTGAAATATACGAATAGATGTTTTTCATAGATAAATGAAAAAATTATGTGTGTACGGGTGATTCTCTTCTGTGATTTTTCATGTCCTGTATTATGTAGTGGCTAGAACGGACTATACGTCCTATACGACTATATGTCCTCCCGAGCATTTTCGGTCACGACGGCCAATTTCATTGAGACTAGCCATCTGCGCATTAGATATTATATTATTATAGCCCAGACATCCGGGCTATACTAATTCTCACTAAACAGAATAAGTTAAAAACTAAAGTTGGCCCAATCCGGGACTCGAATTCTCGAACTCTAGATGTGCAGGCGTACATGCTAGCCACCACCGAAGTAGTTAACAATATTAACTTAGTTAACAGTACTACGAATGCATCGATTAACGAAACATTCGCAATCGCTTGAGAATAATTTAATATAAATGTATATTGAAATGAGATCTCCAGGCTGTATTTCTTTAAAAGAAATAAAGGTGGTACTATATTTAAATACGTCTCTTTCCAATAAAATATTTAGCTGAATAAACGTTATTATTTTAGTGTATTTTACTTTACCACACCATATTCTAATAAAAACTATGTTAAACATATTAAAATAACTTGATCATGTGAAAAGTGAAAACTAAAGATATTTTAATATAATCATTTATATTCAAAAGTAAAGCAAACAAAAGAACCTATTACTCTCAATTTAAATTAAACCTACAAAGGCCTTTATAGCTAGCTCTCTTTAAGCTAGACCCCTTGCGTACACATTTCATTTGCATACGAGTTTCTATTACTAGTAGGTACTTAATTAGTTTTGAAATATTTATTTGACGCTTAGTATGGAGTAGATAGACTATATATACTTAGGTATGTTGATTCTTATATCCCTTATTTGAGAAATGATTGATTCTCGATACAAACTTCCACCCCCATTTTCACCCCCTTAAAAGATGATTTTCGGGATATAAACAATCCTATATTCCCAGAATCTCGAAGTATCTCTAAACAAAATTTGATCTAAACTGGTTTAGCGAATTAGGCGTGAAAAGGTAACAGACAAGCAGACAGAGTTACTTTCTCGTTTATAATATTGGTATGGACTTAGATAAAAGGAAACAGCACAATTTGTTTCGCCTTATAAGAAAATCGTATTTTATAATAGATTTTATTGCATTTATAACAATTACAAACAAATATAACAAAAGATGATATAAATATTGATGATATAACTTGGACTAAGATGGACTTATCTGTAAAAGAGATTAGATATCTCCTATAAATCTGTTTTTGTAAAATTTTCTAGCCCCTCTAAATGACTCTTGCTCATGTTTCTTGTGATATACCTGATAATCTGTCACCTGTGTGCACCTTTTCGAAACATCACACACTTGTCTTATGGTGAAGGAAAACATCTATTTTTCGAAAGACGCTAACTCGCACTTGGCTAGTGTCTAGCTATTGCCTGATCCCCTCGTATTGAAAGGAGCCCCGTGCCCAGCAATGAGATGGGCTGAATACATTTATAAAACCATAAAAATATAAAACGTTAAGTTCCAATAAGTACGTTTTACGCAACTAGCATTTTATGTAATAAAACTGATAAATGTCCACAGATCATAGAAGTTGCTGTGCTTCTTGGGGAGTCCCTCGTAATTGTCTGGAGCTTTGTCGTGGAGGACCAGTGTCTAGGACTTGTGCCCTGCAGCATGCGAGAAGAGCTTTAGCCTGCTTTAGAGATTCTGGAGCTAGAATGCCTGGACCACCTAGGAACTTAAGAGCCCACGCAGCGCCTACGCCTCATGCAGTTTTGTTGAGGTCTGGATTTTATCTTCTTTTTTGAACAAAACTAGTTTAAACCCTAAACTATATACAGTATTGACATCAATTTTACCATCTGATATTATAAACTTACTTCGGGTATTTTATCAATATAAATTTTGTAATATTAAAATTAAGTTCTTGTTAATTTTACAGTTGGGAACCTCCTCGAAAGAATCCAGATACTGTTTACTTGTACAGAGTGTTCTGGCGCGCATATGGAGCTAAGGTTCCAGAAAAGTTGGACACTAGTGAAACAAGCGTTGTTCTCACTGGATTGCAAGATGACGTGAGATATGAGTGTGTTGTGAAGTCTGCTAATGAAGTCGGTATGTCATATTATCAAATATTATATCTGTGATAAAAAAAGTAGATTTTCCAATTTTTTAAGACTTTACTAAAGGCTTTTTTTCTCTCGAGCAAGATTTATATATAAATAGATAATATACATATATTATGTAATTTGTGACTGATTTAATCTCTTCTATAAGGCACTGAAATCCTTGAATGGATACAGCGCCAATGCTACGGGAATCATCAACTATTATTAACTTTGTAAATATTAGCCGAACAAATATGAGTCCAATTAAATTAATATCAAAATAAATAACTACTTTTTTTGGATTTTTTGAACTTCAGTTTCCGACGTTTCGAATGTTTTACAGCAATCATAGTCACAAGAGAGACTCTTCCGTTATATTCCATTTATCTTTTGATAGCTTTATATAAAATGTCAAATATTCTCGTAAATCTAAGAAATGAATATTATTAAAGCACATGATCATTTCCCAGGCACATCTTCTCTCAGCGAGCCTATAATGTTCACGACCGCGGGTCAAGAGACAGGTGCAGCAGCGGCCCCTGTATCCACTTCTGGTACAGCATCAGCTGTCGGAGTAGCAGTAGCCTGTATACTAGTGGCCGCTATTCTTTTAGCTGCGGGCTTTTATTATAGGCACAGAAAGGTATGGTAATACTTCCTTTATTCTTTTATTTTAGTAACATAAATTTCATCAATTTTGAGCTCATCTAAAGTCAGTTTTTCGATAACTTTTTTCTTACTGAAGCCTATTTTTTATTTCAGAATCTTAGACTCAAAGCCCAAGGTGGAGTCGCTTTTGAAAATCCAAGCTACCTCCGGGAACCAAACCCTGATAACGTTGTTAATGTAAGTATATAATATCTATTCGATACAAAATTCTATACATCTTTAACATATATTCTTAAGACTTATTTCAACGAATATTATTAGAATATATTAATTCAATAAGCCTTATTTTCAGGGTACTATGCCAAACGGCACAGCTAATGGAGATAACGGAATATCAAACGGTATCTCCAGCAGTGCAGCCTGGAGACAAGAGACCCAAGCCCCTGGAACCACAGGGCCTAGGGAAGTCGATCCCACACTGTATGAGGAACTGAAGCTCGGGCATGATGGTGCGGGTTTCAAGAGATTGAAACCATAGCCCGAGGTTCGCCGCTCACCGCTCCGCTCGCCGCGTCTGTCGGCGCGCGTGGCGCCGTACTGAGCGGCTTAACGCCCGCACCGTACCTTATATACTGACGTTCAATCCATAGTTAACGAAGCGTATTGCTTTCTTTTTCACAAATAAATAGAACACTATCTTTCCTTCTCTTACGCTCTCTTTTACTAAAGGCTCTTGTGAGCAAAACTTAGTAATTCGTAAATTCATCTCACATTTACTTTTTGTTTAATTAAGTATATAGTATATTTTTATTATAATTTACTAACATTTAATTATCTTATAATGAAATTTTCTACATTTTTACATAGTCCATGATATGTAGTAAAGTATACGCTTCGTATAGCTTTGATTGGACGGTCAGTATGAGTGTTGATGTCACAATAGTGCCCTCTCTCTCGCACTTTCGATATCAATCGAAAAGGAACTATGTTTTAGTAACCACCAAATATTAATGTAGGTTTTGCGGGTGTGGGACTGCAGCAATAATTCAGTAGGAAATGAAAGACCAACCGTGTCCGAGCGGAGTGTAGATAAATATATTTTCAATACACACTTAATGTGATCTAAACCAAAAAAAAGTTTCATGTAAATAAGTATATGAATATTCTTAAGCATCACAGTAGTTTTATTAGATAAAATAATGTAATATCAATATACTGTGGTGCTTGAAAGATATAATTTAGTGTAAAATAGCGTTTTGAATATACATAGGTGGTTCTATAAAAAATGTGCCTTCGATCAATTTATGATGTAGTTTTAGTACTTTTTGGCCTGTAATGTAAGCAATGTAAATACATTCCATATTTAAGTTTTTTTCAAAAGGATTGTCATCCAGTTAAAGCGATTTTTTGACTTATTGCGATATTTCGTCACATCGCTCGATAACGATGAGGCCTATTTAGACAAAATTGTTTATTATAATTTTGAATTTATAAATTTTATTAAAAAACCTGAATACTGTTATAATTGTGTTATGTCAGAAAATATATCAAGATTTCTTATAAATTATGGAAAAAATAGTATAGAAACCCTATGTACGTTTTTCTTAATATCCAAAATTATTGATCTCACTATATAAAAATGTACATATATTACCATTATATGTGTATTAGAAAAATCTTTTACTGTACAGATTTGTATGATAGTTACAAGAAGCAAATAACCATCAAGAATTACTACTAAGAGAGTTGCGGGTTTGATTATCGCTTTGGGTAAATAGTTTTAAGAGTTCGTAGAGTTAGTGAGTCAACTCTAGGACTTCAAATCACCACATAACATTAATAAGTAATTGGATGGTAAATTAGTCTATTTCATATTAAAACGTACATAGTGTTATTAAATGTCTAAATTTGCTCAGCATTGTGATGAATAGTTTTCGTTAGATGTTTTTTCATAAACTAATAAAATAATTTAGCTACAAGACGAATGTGATTAGATTTGTAAATAATATTAATAAAAAAATATTTAAGATAATGAGTTTTATTTCTTGAAAACGCCTTGCTGCTCCGTACCTGAAGGATGCCAATGGGACTCTATTACTAAGCTGCTCTCCATCCGACTGTCTGTCAGCGGGCTGTATCTCATAAACCGTAATCAGCAAAGTTAAAAATTTCACAGACTGTATTTGTATCGCCGCTATAACAACATTTATTAAAAACCAAGATGACGAAATTCAAAATGGCCGTCATGCAAATTATAAAAATTGACTACCCACCAAAATAAGATTTCTATTACTCGTCACTATTTTATATGAAATTGAAGATATGGCCGATGATGACTCGAGGGTCAAAACTGGAAATTTTAAATATATATATATATATATATATATATATATATATATATATATATATATATATATATATATATATATATATATATACTAGCGGACCCGACAGACGTTGTCCTGTCTACACGTCTTTAATTTGAAAATTTCAAACTTTTTTGAATAATTTTTTTGATGAAAATTATTATTCAAATTGTGAATCTAAACCATTCCCAGATCCCCTTGAACACACACAAAAAATTTCATCAAAATTGGTCCAGTCGTTTAGGAGGAGTTCAGTCACATACACACGCACACAAGAAATATATATATATTAAGATATATATATATATATATATATATATATATATATAAAAACCCGTTTAAAACGATTTCACAGGGACCCAACGAAAAACGCGTCTTAAGCGAGAAAGCGTATTATGCGGGATAGGGAAAATAAAACGTACTGCATATTATTGTGTATTATGTTCTAATTTGTATATGTAATTATGTATTTATTAAATTATACATTTCTAAATTATATTAAAAACATAGTCTAATAATAATTACGTTATTTAAAGTAATCACTTATTTTAGTTTGATTGAAAGATGCATAGCTAACTATCACAAGATTTTCAATATAATTTAGCTTTTGCAGTGCGTCTTCGCTTTGATTTAAAGAAGCTACATAGCGTCTTAAATCATTAACAGCTGATAATGCCTGGGCGTTTGATAAAATCGAAGTTGACTCATCTTCGTCTTCATCATTATCACTTAGAGCCTCTTTTTGTGTGTTATTCACATTCTCAATAAGATTTTCAATTGATTGAATTTCGTACGGTGCCACATTGTCGTCAATGGAAGAATATCCAGGAAAACCTTGCAGTATCAAGGCTTCTCCTTCTTCTTCCAAAACGACGTCAACCACGTTATTTCTGAAACCTGCTTTCTTGAAACAATTTTGAATGGTTTCAGGCTTAATTGCTTCCCATGCCGCTGTAATGTTCAAAATCGCATCATGTACAGTTAAGGGTCGTTTGCTATCAGGGTCTTCCATTTCTCGAAGATAAGCGATGTATTAGTCTTGTCCTGTAACCTTGCTTAAGGACCTTTATAATTCCCTGATCCATTGGTTGTAATTTGCTTGTCGCATTTGGAGGTAAGTAAACAAGCTTGATATTCTTCAATTTAACACCTTTAGGGTGAGCGGGGCAGTTGTCAATGAATAGAATTATGCGTCTACATTTAATCTGGAAGTGATCGTCTACAGCTTTTAACCAGTCGATGAAACGATTGCCGGTCATCCAAGCTCGAGATTGTGCATCATATGTTACCGGGAGCGATCTTACGTTTTTGAAACAACGTGGATTTTTCGCCTTACCAATCACTACAAACGTAACTTTTCTGAGCCATCAGAATTGGCACAGGCCAGAACAGTCAGTCTCTCTTTATTTGCTTTACCACCATGACAAGTTTCTCCCTTAAAAACATAAGATTTATTTGGCATCAATTTAAAAAATAAACCGAATTCATCTGCGTTAAAAATGTCTCGCGGTTCGTAATTTTGCAACAATTCGGAAAGTGTTGCCATCCATGTATCAACATCTTGTTGTGCCACTGTCTCCGATTCCCCACTAATTTGACGGTACACAACGCCGTTGCGATTTTTAAAACGATATATCCAGCCATTTGAAGCGTTAAAATCAGTAATGTGAAAGCTTTCAGCAATTTTACGCGCTTTCTCACATATTATGGGGCCACTTATGGGCAGTTTTAAAGCTCGTGCTTGATGAAGCCATTCCACTAAAACTTTTTCTAATTTATCAAACTTTCCGATGTTTTGCTTTTTTCTCTGCACACCACCCAATCTGTATTTTTCTTTGATTTCTACTCTATTTTTTAAAATGGTACGTAACGTAGCAACTGGTAACTGAAGCTCAGCAGCTAACTGAGTTTGATTTGTTGTTTGTGATTTTTCATCAAAAACTTTCAATATCTCAATTTTTTCTTGAAGTGACAATGCCTTTCGCTTAATTGTAGTCATTTTGTAACAAACAAATGATGCACTATTACAAAAGAGTCAGAACGCGCACGTGACAACATGTAAGTCAACAAATGACGACTGGACAGTGGACTGGTTAAACGGCGCACGGGCGGTGCGGGCGAGCCAGCAGGGGAGCTTGCGTTCGGCATTCGAGCTCGGCTCGGTCAGAGACCGTTACCCGATGCCATATTTCACAAGGAACAATAGAATTATCTATTAAGGTATTAGGTTGTTGGCGTATTAGGCGTATTAAACGGGATGACGAATCGTATTAAGCGTTATGAAATGTATGAAAATATGTCTCAAGTTGCAGGGACTAGCTAAAATGGCGTATTATGCGAAAAATCGTATTAAGCGTGATCGTATTAAGCGAGTTCTACTGTATATATAATTAGCACAGATTATAAATTAAATTTTACAAACCTATTATGTAAAAATGCTATTGTCTATGTTCAATCTATATAAATAATAGTTTATTATTATTATTAATTTTTCTGTTCTGACTTTATATCTTATTTAAAAAAAAGAGAATTTTGTGTCTACGAGGCGAGCAACTGGAAGGAATATAGGTTGAGGAATGTAAACTGTATGTGGACATTCATACGGTATATTTAACATTGATATTTTTTAGCGTACCGTTGCCAAAAATCTTTCATAAAATCGTCATATCCATCTGTCCGTATGTCAGAGCCATTTTGCTCAGAGACTCATGATGGATACAATCAATACATATAGAAAATTATACATATATAAATTGAGATGGCATACATGTAACTGAAGGAAGAAAACAACCTTAAGACCACATAAACGTGTGCAGTACCTCTAAATAAGACTTTAAAGTAAAAATAGATTTTCTAAGTAACTTTTTAATCAAACCTATATCTGCCAATTTATATTATATGCCTTTAAAGTCGTAACGTAGTGTCGATCATCTTACAATATATACATGCTTAGATGAGGTATAAAGAGATAAAAGAAAATGAAGATGACGCTTTAAAAATATCGTTATGCCATAAAATCTTAAGTCATAAAGTTCGAATCTTATAAACGAGATATTTTTTATCATAAAGATCAAAGGGAGGAAAAGTTCTTCAAATCTGAAGGCCAAGAAATCAGTTCCATCAGTTATGTAGCTTTTAGAATACGTGTTTTAACGTTTCGATGTATTTTCATACATTTTTGGTTTCTTCATAAGTTGTTTCTGATTTTTTTTGGTGAGTGATGGCGCAATGTTGATTCGGTTGGACTTATAAAACCAGGCTATTTGCTTATTCGATAATCTTTAGTACTAAAATTACTTTGTCTGTGTGTATGTATGTGTCAACTAGCTACTATAATAATGTATACATATAATAAAGTAGCAAAATGAAATCTGTACATGAAATATGTTTTAAAAACCATGACTGTCACGTTGTGTAGAAAACTTATAGCCCAAAACCATAGATGTTGAAATTTTAGTCTGTATGTGTGTTTGTCTGTTTATCCGTTTTCTTTTCACGCAAAAAGCACTGAATTGATAATAATGTGTAGCGATAACTTATTATTTGAGTCAACATTCAAAATTGCTTTTACTATAGGAAAATCTCTCAATTTCAAGGGAAGACAATTCGCTAATATAATAAATAATAATTCAGTCTACTTCATATATCTTTCACGAACAAGTATAGTTCTTCCAGACATGCACGATTGACCACGATGTTTTCTTTACTGTAGAATATGTTAAAAATAATTAACACATGAAAATATCAGAGATGTGAGTTCCTAATTTAAAACCACTACACTTGATTTTTCAAGTGATAGCGTTACCAATGTCTACTATATCAAAGAATAATACATACGCATAAAGTGCTTCCCACAAAATTTTACTGAAATCAAGGAATCATTCGCTTAAAATCCCTATTGCATGGTAATTTGTAGACAAAGTGGAACCCTCATCAGAAACAGCGCCTAAAACTTCAAAGATGCCTGAAAATTATACAAAGTATAGGGCGATTACCAAAATGTTCAAACATTCGCCTTTATTTTATGCTGGACCCAACTAATTATGGAATTTGAGAAAACTTTCTCTAAAAGTACTGTAAGAGTATTATAATAAAGTCATTAGAAAACAAGGAGTTTGAAAATTATTAAAAAATATAACCATTGTTTGATGAAATTATACTTTCCCTTTAGAATAAAATATAATTATAATGTTAATATTGATAATAATCATTATATAAATAAATAAATATGTCGGGAAATTAACACATAGTGCCATCTAGTTCCATAGAAACTAGTAGTTTATGGCTTGTTTTATGGATACCATACCAGGTAGTTGATACACTACACATATAAAACTTCAAATACATACATATTATAAATATAAACACCCATAACTGGAGTGCTCATTCGTGCTCATCACAGAAATGAATGTCCCCAGCGGGACTCGAACCCGCGACCGCTGGCACAGCAAATAGGGTTACTACAAACTGAGCCAAACATGTCGTCAAACACTATTTCTTCCTTCAAACGCTATTTCTACAAAAAAAATACTTATAAATGTTTGTGCAAAACCACAAATCTACGGAAGTTCTTCACTACTTGCTTTAAATATGCACATATAAGTACTTTTATCTGATTATTTTATTCTATCTATCTCTACCTATTCAGCCCTTTTTAACGTCCCACTGCTGGGCACAGGCCTCCCTCCAATACGAGTAGGATCAGACTATAGTCCATGGAAACATAGAATACTCTTGCATTATCCATTTACGCGGGCAAATTATAAATATACATACAAAAGTGGGTTTCTAGTTAATGTTGTATTTGTACGGCTTTGGGATATGCTTGTATCGACGTACGCACATAATATATCGTTATAAAGTTGACTTGCATTATGACACCTATATCTAAATCTACATATAATAAAATTCTGAGTCGAATCTGTACAATAAATATTGTTTTGGAAAATCTTATTGAAATGTTCATTATTATCGATACAGTGAGGATACGCATTACGAGACAACCACTCCGGACAGATTTTAATGAAATTTGGTATGATGATAGCTGGTTATCCGGGTTAACATATAGGATAGTTTTTACTGCGGGAAAATATCTCATCTCTGATAAATCTATTCTAAACTTTAAAACGTAACTAAGGACCAACCCGACCGGAGTGAGGGTGAGTCGCTAGCGCTCTATAAAGATTTTTTACATTGATTTTAGAAAAATAATACCTGTTATCTGGTTAAAATCAGGTTCAGTCAAGATGCCTATAACGAAGGGTCGGCTTTACATTGTTCCCACATCCTTTTCAACTGTCTCAAGCTGTTTCAGCCTCTTCAGGATGTACTTCTAAGCAATTTACATCGTCCTCTCAATATTTGTTTTTGTAAATTCTTTTTTGATGTAAATAATGTAATATTTATATAAAAGTATACAAAAATAAGGATTCTACATCTTTCTTATTGAAGAAAATCTTACTGTAGTGTATGTTAATTAATTTTCACTCTAAAACGTCTGAACCATTTGGATAAAATTTAGGACACAGATTGTCATCATCATCATCAGTAGGTATAGATTATGATTTATGAGACTACGATGAGCCAGCAATTGAAAACTGATTAAAAGGCGAATATTTCAATACTTAGTCAATATATCCAATTGATCCCCATTCAGATAGTAAGCGTGCAAACAATTATAAACGTGTAAGCACTCACTAACGATTCAATGCTCCTATTTATACGGTAATATGAATATGTAAATAAGCGTAGAATTTAATAAAAGTATTGGACCTCGTGGCATTAAAAACCGACGTGAATTTTCTCTTCAGGATATTTCTGAGTACGGCTGATCTATAGGTTTACAATGAGTATTGTACTTTTTTTATTATTGTGATTATATTTCGAAGAACATTCCATATTCAGCTGCCTTTTTGGTCTATTGGTTAATATGTACGGCTGTAGATTGAAAGGTCCTGGGTTCAAGTTTCGGAGTTCGAGAATGGCAGTAAATATTTTCTTGGTACTTATGTCATGAAATATACGAAGTTTGGGGTACCCACAATGCCCCGAAGGCTGGTCTGCCGAAGCAGACCGCAACAACTAAGGGATTACGCTCCACTCTGCTATCAGAGAAGTACCAGGACCAACCTCCATGGTATATCCACCGAAATGGGCTGCTTTCCAATGTGTCTTTTGGATTCACGCACGGCTAGATTGTAGAACGCTAATGAGCTAAACCACGACAAGATGAACACATGTCGAGGGGAAAATTAAATCAACCCTTATTTATATAAATGTAAGTTAATTTTATGTAATTTCGAATCCACTGTAAACAGTGTACTTTCTTTACAATTTTCTATCATTTAGAACCCATTTCTTTTCAATACTTTGCAAACATACATAATATCGCTACATTTCCTTCCAATATTGCGAGTAATAGCAAATATGATCAAAAACACGAGAGAGAACTAAAGAGTACGATCGAAACGTTCAAACACCATTTCGAGATTCATGCAAATAGACGAACGAGGAATAGCCTAAAGTACTTTAAATGATGGTATTTGCTATTGAACACTAAAATTTACCTACTACATATTATAATCCCAAGCTACTTTTTTACTTTTGAACTGTATTTGATAGAGTTTTATGCATAATACGTAACTATGTTTATTTAATAATAAAAATAAACAAAATCTCAATGCTTATGACTTCAGAAGAATATAAACCTGTAACTGTTGGCTTAAACGAAAAAGTGAGAAACATCAATCTGAATTTTAAAAACCTATCCAGGTAGCTAACACGCTTATGTGATCGCTAGACAAGCGGTTTACATAAGACACGTAGATACTTACCAAACTTCAGCATTGTGCTCCAATAATTTTCGAGCAAAGTGGCTATTACATACGAACACACAGATATGACGAGGTCATAAGGGTTTAGCCTAACTTGCTGTCTTAGATTTAAATATTTAACATTTTTAAATAAAACCACTTTTCATTGAGACTTTTAGATATCTAT